GCCCTTGAGGGGCTCCTGAGGGCAGGGCATCCCTCCCAGCCCCACTGCGCCCGGGGCCATGTTGCCCCTTCCCATGGGCCTGCACCTCAGCTGCTTTGTGCCCAAGGCCCTGTCGCCAAACAGCAGGGCGGGCGTGAAAGCCCCCAGGTGCCCAGCAAGCTGGCACCCGTGGCTGCCACCCGCCACGACCTCCAGAAGGCTGTCCCTGGTCACCATGGCCAGACAGCACGTTTCACAGCATGGCCATTAACACCATAGCTGCTCCAGGCCCTCCCCTGGGTTGCCTGCTTCCCCAGACATCGGATGGGGCCCGCCCTTCCCAAGTCACAGCGCTGAGAGGCCCCAGGAGCCTCCAGAGCTGGGGCGGAAGTTCCCCCGGGAGGGGTGGAGGCAGGGGAAGGAAGGTCAGCATTAGAGAACAGAACCTCAGCAGCTGGCTGTTGTTCCCTCCAGGCCCCCTTTGGGGGAAGCCGGGTTCAGCTACGGTTCCCCTTCTGCTCCAGCACACAGGGAGGAACAAGCCTCATTTCCCCATAGGCGGTTACCACTTCCTGCTGCCGGAAGACACTTTTCTGCCTCCTGCCCCCTGCAGTTTGCACCTGCCCATCCTAACCCTGGGGGAGCCCCTCGGAGCAAGGTCTTAGCTAGCCTGGGGGCAAGTCTTGGGGCCCCCTCGTCCAGGGCTGGCGGGGTTTCCCTCCATTCCTCCCTACCACAGGGCAGCAGGAGACAGGTGGCGGGTGACAAGCCAGACTAGACCACGGTCTTTCTGTGCATAGGTGGTGCGACAGGGGCGAAGCACTCTCGAGGCCCGGGCACGTCGGGGAGGTGGGCCTGCAGACACTAATTCGGGGGTCCAGGCGTGTGTGCGTGAACGTCAACGTGGGGCACGATGCAAACGCGGGCACCCATGACCTTGACCTGCAGATCTGGGGAGGAGGGGAAGCTGTGCAGGTACTTCCTGCCTTTCAACTGTGAGCAATTAATTCTGTTGCCCAGAAGGAAAAAACACACCGCCTCAGCTCCCCGCCCCCTTCCCCCCAGTCCCGAGGCCCTTCCCTAAGATGCCAAATGTGCAGAGGGCCTGGGAGCTAGCCAGACCCTGGCAGCCCCGGACCTGGACCTCCAGCAGCAGGTCTCAGAAGTCCGATCGTTCCTGCCCTCCAGCAAGGCCAGGGAGCCCGCAGCATGAACACCCGACCCTGCTGCTGTGTCGGCAGACTCACTCGTCCCACCGCTGCCTCGGGTCAAGGGGAACTGGGGAACCGGGAACCGGGGAGCCGGGCCCCTCACCGGCTGACCCCAGAACGCCCTGCCTGCCCCCACCGCTCCATCCGGGCCCGCCCAGCAGAGCCAGGCACCGGGCTAAGGCACGCGGGAACCGGCAGCTGCGCGGGCCCCAGCCCCTGCCTTCATATGCTCTCTTCGAGACTTTTCTGACTCCAGAGGTTTCCCACGACCCCCACGCAGCCCCTGCTTGAGAGCTCTGCGTGTGTAGCCCGGCTTTCAGGCCACCCGCTTGGCGTTTAGGGCGAATGCAGCTGCCCCCTACTGCCCGTCTGGCCTTAGCGCCTCTGTTCTCCTTCTACAGCCAGTTATCCCGCAGGGGGCGAGGACCTGACC